TCTATTCTATTCTATTCTATTCTATTCTATTCTATTCTATTCTATTCCATTCCATTCCATTCCATTCCATTCCATTCCATTCTATTCTATATTATATTCTATTCTATCTCTAGGCATCCAGCCCCCAGGCTGCAAGGATAACCTCCCATTTTATCTTGTAGTTTCTGGTTTTTTTTTTTCACGTGAAAAAATGATGAAAAACTAATTAAGAAGGTATATAACTTCTTACTGAATTTGAAAATGGAAAATGAACAAATAAAAGACACAATGGTACAATGGAAATTTTTTAGCTATAATATAGAACTAGAGAAATGGCAAAACTTATGGGAAAGGAATTACAGATTAACAATGTTGATTTCTTATAAAGAAAACCTATATAAAATGTTTCATAGGTGGCATCTACCACCTGCTAGATTAGCTAAAATGTTTAAAAATATGTCCAGCAAATGTTGGAAATGTAATAAAAAATAGGCACATTTCATCATATGTGGTGGATGTGTGTCAAAGCAAAATAATTTTGGACAAAGATAAATGTGATTAGAAAAGATGATAGGGAAATGTATAGATTATAAACCTGAATTGTTTTTATTAGGTATAATATCAGAAAAACTTGAAAAGTATGTATTTAATGGCTTAATAGCAGCGAGGATTATTTTCACACAATACTGGAAAAATGAAGATACACCACGAGATGAAGAAATAGTTAAGAAGATACTAGATTGTGCAGAAATGGATAGATTGACACTGAAAATTAAGCAGAAAGAAGACGTAGAATATTATCAAACACGGAATTTATTTTACCAGTGGTGGAAAAAATGGGTGGAGATTGTAATTTGTATTGTTAAGCAAATTGAATACCCAGACAACATGATGTTTATAAAGCACTAAGAAATATATTTAATAGAAAATCAATTTTTAAAAAAACCTTATAGTTGCTATGTCCTCCTTTCCATGCCCCCCGCCCCTCATATCTCCTCTCTCCTTAGATTACTCCTGTGCATTGCAGCGTGACATCCTCCTTCAAGGGCGGCTTTATCTATCGGAGAATTGGATCTGTTTCTACAGCAACATCTTTCGATGGGAGACCACGGTAAATGCTCCATCCAGGACTCTTGGTTGCTTTTAGCTCTTCCTCTCCTGGCCACTGACCTCTGTGTCATCTTCCATGATAGATCTCCATCCAGCTCAAGGAGGTGATATGCATCAAGAAGGAAAAAACCGCCAAGCTGATTCCCAATGCAATTCAGATTTGCACAGAGAATGACAAGGTGAGATCGTTGCGTATCCCCTAAAAATCCAATCCTAGGGATAGATAATTATCCTTTCCAAGATGCTGCATTTTATAATCTGACAGCAAAGGGCCCCAGTCTTTGTGTTGCAAAACTGGGCTTTATTTGTAATCTGTTCTTACTGATTACGACAAATGGTTGCAGAAACTGGGAATGGCTACGCTAGTGAAAAGGACAGGGGAGACATGATAGCAGTCTTCCAATCTTTGAGGGGCTGCCACAGAGAGGAAGGGGTCAAGCTGTTTTCCAAAACACCTGAAGGCCAGACAAGGAATAATGGATGGAAACTGAACAAGGAGAGATTCAACTTGGAAATGAGGAGAAATTTTCTGACAGTGAGAACAATCAACCCATGCTTGCCTTCAGAAGTTGTGGGAGCTTCATCAATGGAAGCTTTCAAGAAGAGACTGGACTGCCATCTGTCAGAAATGGTATAGGGTGTCCTAGTTGGGGGGGGGGGGGTTGAACTAGATGACCTACAAGGTCCCTTCCAACTCTGTTAATCTGATTTGGTTTGCACGTTATCTATAGGCATCTCTACCATTGAAGCAATTGGAAGCTGCTGCACAAATCTGCTTGCCTTTTTTGTGGAAAAAAAAACCCTTGCCAAAGTGGAATAAAAATAAATTAAAATAGTAATATGCAGAATAAAATTAAAATAAACTTTAAAAGTGAAATAAAAAAGAGTAGAATAGAATAAAAGCAGAAAATAACTTAGACATGAAAGGCTTATAGTTGGACTGAATGCCTGGAGTTACCTATGTGTGAATTGGCAGTCATATAAATGTCTTCAATAAATAAAAATAAATGAGTAGTGATTCCCCCCTCCTCCTTATTTTTTGAGCTGTGGACCTTATTTAGCTTTTTTTTCCCCCTCAGGGAGGAAATGATGTTAAACAGGTGAGGATACTTCACACATGAGAACAGACAGGGGCAAGATTTTCTGCGGTGGGGTTCAGTTTCATTTAAACCTGTATTACTTCTATTCTCGCATTAGTTTAATTATGTGTATGTTTCCTGACTCAAACTGCGAGAATTTGCTTCCTGTATTGTGATCAGAGGTGGTTCAGGAGGACTGTGAATCTCAGAACTGGATGGCTGCCAGATGCCCCAGCTAATTTTACAAGATGGCTTCTCCCTGGGGTTTTGGTAGAAATCTGCAATTACGGATTTGGCTGAAATTTGCAATATCCAGGGTTGAATCTGGATCTTCAGTTGGGCATTGAGTTGTGAAGATTTCCCGTCCTTGTTCTAGACCAGGGTTTCTCAACCTTGGCAATTTGAAGATGCAGGGACTTCATCTCCCAGAATTCCCCAGAATGGCCATTCTGAAGCTGCACATGAATGCTCAGTGCCACTGGGAAAAAATATGGTGTCTGTGGCCTGACCAAAGAATATCAGCCTTTCTCTGTCCCAGCTTCCTTTTCTCTTTTCCCCACTTTTCAAAGTGCAGGCGGCACATAATGGACAGTGTAAATATTTGAATAGATTTTCCCATCAATCTAGGTTATCTTTCTTCTAGGAAGTGGGGCAATCCTGGGCAAGAGGAGAGGCTAACTCACTGATAACTCACTGTTGTTGACTTGTTCCTCTTCTTCTCTCCCCCTTTCTCTGTATATAGATATTCTCAGTCATCCAGGTCATGGTTGCCCCAAAGATGCTTTTTCAAAAGGCAACTGGACTTTTCTTTTTCCTTGAAGAAGGTATTTCGCTTCTCATCCAAGAAGCTTCTTCAGAACTGAAGAAACGAAACTCCTTCTTCAAGGAAAAAAACAACAAAGAGAACTCCAGTTGCCTTTTGAAGAAGCACCTTTGGTTTCTTCCTGTCCTAGATTTCCTAAGATCTTCTTGCTGAGCCAGGGCGAGGCCTTTATCTCAGAGGCATCTCGTCCTGACTTATGGCCCTAACCAACAGGGCAACGTCCTTGAAAAGAGAAAGCACATCAGGTACAAAGAACTTCAAAGAAAGATGGGTGTGTCTGTAGAAAATCATTTTCATGTGAAGCCATCCTTCCTTTGCACAGTTTAATGACCTGTGACTGCACACTTCAGAGAAAACAATGCACAGTCTTCACAAGCGCCCTGCAAATTATGCACATCCAGGAAGTCTTGAGATTACAATCTTCCACCAACAATTGTGGTTTAGACAGCCAGGGGGAGGGCTTGTAATCTTTTAAGATTGCTCAGATCCCTCTGATGTTTTCTTGAGGTTTGCAGTTTGAAACAGCAGTGCCCATTTCACAGAAACCTTTCATTATTTCTGCCTGAGATCAGTGTACTCTTTCAGTATGTTATTCACGCAAGCATGCATTGCACAATCTGAGGCAGGAAGCAATTTTCTGTGAATCGAGAATAGGGTGATCCCGTAGAACAGTATGTCTCAACCTGGGCATCTTCTAAGACATGTGGACTTCAAATGACAGAATTCCCCATTTCATAAAGTTGACAAGGCTGAGGAACACTGCTGAACAATTATTTCCCAGCAACCATGTGGCAATAAGATGACTTCTGCTGAGGGATGCTGGGAGTTGTAGTTCTGTCATGTCTGGAAGAGTAACCCTGGTCTACATAGTTAAAAGGTTATCTTCCCATTGTTGACATCCACCCACCTGTGTGAACAGCAGGAGCAAGAACATAGATTATCTCCCGGAGATCATTTGTGAAGAGGAAATGTCGTTGCAGCTCTGTAATCAAATGTGCATGTTCACATGAATAAATTCCAGTTCCTTTGTCACTCTGTCTACCTACCTATTTACCTACCTATTAATTAAATCGATCAATCAGATTCTCTGAAGTTTACAATAAATAAAACCATAAAAGAAAAGCCATCCTATTGAAAGTTCAAAGGTAAAATATTAAAGCACATCAAAAGAACTTAGTAAATCAATAAATCAAGTATGGGTGTCCCATTGATCATCCTAAGGCCTGCAAAATAGTTATGTTTTCAGTAATTTTCTGAAAGCAAGTTTCTTTTGTGCCTGGGACACTGCACAGCCTAAATGCAACATAGAAGCTATGAAAGTTCCACACAGTCAAACTTATTTTGGGGGGACCATTCTTAACACTGTTCTTTGTGGTTCCTAGCATTTCTTCACATCCTTTGGTGCCCGTGACCGATGCTTCATGCTAATCTTTCGCCTTTGGCAGAACGCACTTCTGGATAAGGTAGGAACAAACTAGGGGAGAACCTACCTAGGATTTTTTTTTGAGAGTGGTAGATTATATTTGATCTATGGAGATTCTCAGTCATCCAGGTCACAGTTGTTCCAAATGTACTTTTTCAAGAGATAACTGGACTTTCTTTTTTTATTTTTTATTTTCTTGAAGATGTTTCACTTCTCATCCAAGAAGCTTCTTCAGTTCTGACTGGATGGTGACCACTCAGAACTGAAGAAGCTTCTTGGATGAGAAGCAAAACGTCTTCAAGGAAAACCAAAGAGAGTCAGTCCCCTTGCCTCTTGAAAAAGCACCTTTGGGACACGTTTCAAGGTTTTTCACTGTGACTCCTATACAGTATACTGATTTGTTTACCTTTGATCAGGGGTGAGATTCTACCGGTTCTGTCCAGCTCTGTAGAACCGGTAGCTCTGAAGAGCAAAAGACATAGAACTGGTTCTATGTCTGCTGATGTTTTGGCCCACCCGCCCGCCTGGGCTCTTACCCGACCTTTATTTCCTGCAAGGCACCACTGCGGTTGAAAAAGCAGGAAAAAAGTGCTTTTTCAAACGCTGCTTCTCTGCACGCAGCGCTGCTCAGCTGTCCAGGCAGCAAGCTGATGACGATTTACAGGCACAGCCGCAGCTTGCAGGGAAGCACATCGTAAATCACCGAACCTCGTAAATCACCTAACCAGTAGTTAACCCTGTCGGATCTACCCCTGCCTTTGATGCACCCATAGAAACAGGTACACCCAGAAATGAGATTCAAACATGATGCTTAGCCAAGGGGGGGTAAACTTTCTGACCCTTTAGATATGGTCAAAATACGATTTCCAGCTTTCCTAGAAGGTGTGGCCAATGGTGAAGGATGCTAGGAGTTGTAACTTGGGGTTCCACAGGTCACCTGTTCCAAACCATCATTTTCTTTCTTGGTTCTGGCTCAATGCCAACCAGATCGAGAAACTTACACCATAGGAAGACTGGAATTAAACTTTTTTGAGATAGGCTATAGCCGTGATGGCGAACCTATGGCACGCATGCCACAAATGGCATGCAGAGCCGTTTGTGCTGGCACGTGAACCGCAGGCAAACTTACCTCACTGCAACATGCGCACGCTTCACAGCTGATTTTTCTGCTTGTTTCAGGCCTTTTTGGCCTCCCAGAGGCTTGGGAAAAGCCTCTGCAAGGCTTTTCAGGTCGAATAGGCCCGTTTCGTCACTACTTGTAATACTGGAAGTGACGAAACGGGCATATTATTCGTCCTGAAAAGCCTTGCTTTTTCCAAGCCTCTGGGAGGCTGAAAAAGGTCTCAAACCAGCCAAAAAATTAGCTGTGAGGTGCAGTGCAGGTAAGGGGATGGCAGGGGGGGTAGGATTGAGCGGGCATGCGCAGAGGGTGTAGGGGTGTGTGCATTGCATTCTGGGTGCTGGCCTGCAAGTACATATGTGCTAATGTGTGCACAATTTTTGGCACAGGAGCCCAAAAAGTTTAGCCACCACTGGGCTATAGTAACCGAAACCAGTTTTTAAAAAGCATTTTCCTTTCACTCCTACCCTGGGGAATTAAGGAAAACCAGTGTCTTTCCAATACAAGTAGTCCTCAACTTACCTCTGTTCATTTAGTGACCATTCAAAGTTACAATGGCACTGAAAAAAGTGACTGATGGCCGTTTTTCATGCTTATGACCGTTGCAGCATCCCCATGGTCAAAATTCAGGCGCTTGGCCACTGACTCATAGTTATGACGGTTGCATTGTCCTGGGGTCATGTGATCCCCCTTTGTGACCTTCTGACAGGCAAAGTCAATGGGAAAACCAGATTCACTTAACAACCATGTTATTAGTTTAACAACCGCAGTGATTCAGCTGTGGCGAGAAAGGTGGTAAAATGGGGGCAGAATTCACTTAACAAGTGTTTGACTTAGCAACAGAAATGTTGGGCTCAATTGTGGTCATAAATCGAGGACCACCCATACTTTCCCCACCTTCCAAGATTGAATACATGCTTCCTCTTCTACACTTCCTGTTGCCCTAATAGCTTCTAGGTTCCTTCTCCAAAGTCATCTCCATGACTCCCTGCACTTAATTCGTTGCACGAATGCAGCCATTATGGTCTCAAAAAACCATAGTTTGTGCCATTGAACCCAATCGATTGCAGCTTGCTCAGCAATCCACAGTTGGAAACAAATGTTGACTTATTGTCATGAGCCCTTCAATAGCTGTGCTATGTATCTGCTTCTTTGTTTCCTCTCTTAATGCCGTGTTCTTCCATTGCCATCAGACTTTGCCCCCACGAGAACTCTGGCACATTGTCCATCAATGCTACGGTTCTGAACTTGGCTTGACCAGTGAAGATGATGACTATGTTTCTCCCATTGATGACCTCAATGGCTTGGGGTGAGTATCTACTCTGGACAGGACAGTTTTCTTCTGGGTCAGGGAATGTAGCCTGCAGCCATACCTCTTAGTTGTCTCTTTGCCATCTGCAGGAGATAGTGAGCAGCCTTTCTCAAGGTTGTGTTCTGACCAAGGCTTCCTGAGACAGTAACAATCACACACTGTTCCGAAAAACCATCTCTGTGTCGGACGCAGACCCCTCATCCGAGCCCTCCCCAGACTCCAGGACTGGCCCATGCTCCTCCCCACTGTCTGACTGCTGCCAGCTCCACAGGCCGCCCGGCGGACCACAACAAGTTGATCCTTCCATAAATTAGTCTTGTTGGTCCAGAAGATTCCTTTAAAATCTCCCTCTCTTTTATCTGTCTTTCCCTGAATCACAACAGAAGCCAGAAAGAAATTGGAGATGATATTGACCTGACAGAGCTGACCTCCCGCTGCAGCACTGACCTCAAGCTGGACACCAGTCCCTTGCTGGACAAAAGGGACACCAGTCATTGCATCAGCTCACTGGCCAGTAGCAGCGATGGAACCACATCGGTGAGGACAGGGGATTCAGAAGACAGCTGGAATGTTATGAAGGTCCATTCCTAGGTTTTGTCCCCCCATTAAAACTACTTGCCCTACAATAATGCATGATGAGCGGATTGCAAACTTTTCCATTCTCCTCTTGAACATTACCTGCTCTGCATAATTTCCCCTCCTGAGAAATCTCATTTGTTTTGTGCATTTTAATGCATTTATTTTACCACCTACAGTTATTTGTAGGTGGAAAGAGGAAAAACAAAATCACGCCACCAAATTTCAGCAGTGTAATCTTGGAGAGTTTTTGGAAGGTTGCATGATGTTTATATAGGTTACCTGTCTTCAAAATCTTGCCCTCTTGGGGTTAAAATAAAGGATCTAAAAGACAATATTCACGGGAAAAATGTATGTAGCAGAATTGGATCACTGAAGTAAGAATCAAATACACTAAAATCAGTTCAGAGATGAGGATTGGAGAGAAGGATAGACACAAAGTCATTTGAGGAAGAAGAAACTGTTTAAGATCGTTTAGTAGAGGGGTCGTTGGGCTCTCTGAGCTTGGTTGCTTTCTTGTAGATGTTTTATTACCCAAACTATTATGATGTTAGTGTGTAACATCATCAGTGGTAGGTTTTTTGTTTGTTTGGGAATGTTGTAAGCTTGAGAATGGAAGACTGAGAATAGATAACACTCTTTAAATATCTGGAAGTCTGCCACATAGGTCTTACTCTCCATAGTTCCCAAGAACAGGACATGAAAAATGAAGGCTCTGAGTTACAGCAAGCCAGATTCCAACTGAATGTTAAATATATATATATATATAGAACAGTTAGCTGGAAATAAACTTCCTGTCCTTGGATGTAATTCAAAAGGCAGCTAGACTGATTTATCAGGGATGTTGTAACATGGATTTCCACTGTGGTGCCAATGCCCAGCAGCCGCTTCCAACTAGAAGAACCTATGGAACATCTTAAACAGAGCCCAAATTAACCTCCACCAGGCTTGTGAAGGGCTTTGTCTTTGAAATACAGGAAGGTATCGTAAATTCTGACTATCGATCAATATTCCCCAGAGATATGATGTATCTCTAAAAAAAAGTCTGTCTTTTCTAGTTCCACCTAGAAGTGCTATAAATTAATTCTGGAACATTTAGTATTAGTTAACAGTCTAACTAACAGTCTTCAGTGCAGTCAAATGAATGCCTTTGAACTATTAAGAGACCCGGGTGAAAATACTACAATTGTCTCAATGCGCCATACTATTTTTTATACCTTTGCTTTTATAAGTATACTAGCTCGATACCCGTGGTTTGCTACGAAACTATGTGGTCGGGCTTAGTTTTTGGGGAGGAAAATAAGGAAAATAAAATTCTGCCTACCAGCATCCATTGGTATTCATCTGGCTAGCGCCCTGTCAGTGTGTGAGAGAATTGAGGGCTGTTTGGAAACTGATGTAGTATTTGCTGTGTGAGCAAGAAGGAGACAGCAAGGAGCCTGGGCGTGGCTTAGCTCAACTATTCTGTACTAAAGCTGCTTGCTGCTGTGAAACTGAAACTCCTCTCCTCTGCTTGTGTTTTGCATTTGAAACAGATTTCTTTTCAGGTGAGGAAGGGGAATAGAACTCCTTAGCATCAGAACATGTTAATAATAATATATGAAATACTAATGCTCTGATGGTCATTTGGAAAAATCCTTTCTTAGTGAGCACCTAGAAGCCAAGGGGAACATGCGTGCCAAATTTCTTAGGCTTTATGGTTCTGGAGATTTTGTGATGATGCGTGAGTGGTATTTTGCTTTCATATATATATAGATAGATATGCTCCATACACCTGTCAATAACCTGAATGTTGCAAACAACAGCATAAAACTATTTAAAAATAATATGAAAGACTGAACCTTGTAAAGCCATCCAACTGTCAACTTTAAGTAAAGACAACACAAAGGACATGAAGGAAAATGGGAAGCTCTCCCATTGATTAAATAATTTTTGAGTAGAAAGTAATTATGTTTGATTTGATGCCTCCTAATAAAAGCCTTTTTTCTCCGGCTGCCCAAACAGTTGAAATTTTCAGTTCAGCGTTGACTACCAAGAATATTTTTAGATATGTAGTCTAATAATACTCGCTTTTTTAAGCAGCTAAAGAAAATAATAGAAAAACCCAACATACTCTGTGGTTGTTTCTCACAGATTTGGGAACTGTCCAAGGATATTTCAGAATACTTAAAAATGAAGCCAATCTATTGAAATACATCTAGCTAAAATGGTGTTATGATTCTAATTCAACTGCAACCTACAAAGGAGAGAGATTTTAGCTCTGGAAATTATTTATAGCCCAATACATGTCTACTTAGAAATGAGTCCCATTGAATATTGTAAAAGGACTTTTTTGGTGTCACTGTAATTTCAAACAGTCATTAAACAAATGGTTGCAAGTCAAGGACTACCTGTATTACCTTCTGCTGCATGCTCGGCGACAAGAACATATCAAATAGCAATAGCAATAGCCCTTAGACTTATATATCACTTCACAGTGCTTTACAGCTCTCTCTAAGCAGTTTACCGAGTCAGCATCTTGCCCCCCAAAATCTGGGTTCTCATTTTACCCACCTCGGAAGGATGGAAGGTTGAGTTAATCTTGAGCCAGTGAGACTCGAACTACTGAACTGCTGGCAGCTGGCAGTCAGCAGAAGTAGCCTGCAGTACTACTGTCAACTCATAAAATATTTCTATGGTCTTTTTAGAGTTGCCAACAGAAAGGGAGGGGGGAAAGGGGTTTGAAAGAGCAGTGTGGCAGCTTGGAAATTGAAAGTGCATTCCATAAATAGTTTTTCAGAGATGGTAACTAGGTGACTGAAGTTTTGTGCTGTGCAAATATCTAACTGGAGAGCATGATTGATGACTCTTGGCTATGGATGTGTCTCATTAGAAAATATGAATTATGTTACACCCAGGGGGTGGGGAAAACCAGGGTAAAGGGTGACAATGAATTATCTGTCACAGAGTTGGCTACACCCAGGCAGTGCCAGACATATTAATTCCCAATAAATCCTTTTGAAGTTTTGGAAGTTTTGGCTCGAGACTCATGATTTAATTGGGGTAACTGCCAGAATCCTGACAACTGCCTTCTTACCACTGGGTGCCATCAGGGCTCAAAATAGCAAATATTTTGGCTGATACCTCATTGGCTGTCCAGATGCTGAATGTCGAATAGAATAGAATAGAATAGAATTCTTTATTGGCCAAGTGTGATTGGACACACAAGGAATTTGTCTTGGTGCAAATGCTCTCATTGTACATAAAAGAAAAGGTACATTCATCAAGAGTTGAGAATCATCAGGTACAACACTTAATGATAGTCATAGGGTACAATAAGCAATCAAAACATACTAGGAAACAGTCCATATAAATCGTAAGGATACAAGCGACAACGTTACAGTCATACAGTCACAAGTGGGAGGGGTTGGGTGTTAAGGAGTGATGAGAAGATTAGTAGTAATAGTAGTGCAGACTTTGTAAATGGTTGAACAGTGTTGAGGGAATTACTTGTTTAGCAGAATGATGGCATTTGGGGAAAAACCGTCCTTGTGTTCTGTTGTGCAGTGCTCTATAGCGTCGTTTTGAGGGTAGGAGTTGAAACAGTTTATGTCTGGGATGTGAGGGGTCTGTAAATATTTTCACAGCCCTCTTTTTGACTCATGCAGTATACAGGTCCTCAATGGAAGGCAGGTTGGTAGTAATAGTTTTTTCTGCAGTCCTAATTACTCTCTGAAGTCTGTGTCTGTCCTGTTGTGTTGCAGAACCAAACCTGGCAGTTCTGGAGGTGCAGATGACAGACTCAGTCCTTCCTCTGTAGAACTGGATCAGCAGCTCCTTGGGCAGTTTGAGCTTTCTGAGTTGGCGCAGAAAGAACATTCTTTCATAACCAAATGTGTATTTCAAATGGAGCCAAAACTCACCTGGGTTGAATCTAATGCCGACATGCTTCCCTTGTAGCTGGCTGAGGATGCAGAGGACAACACTGACAGCCAAATGGATGCTTCATCCAGCCACACAGTGACCTCAGCCACAGACCCCCTTCTGGATGACTTGCTGCAAGGGTCTGCTGGGTCCCCCCTGGAGGGGGACCCCAGTGAAGAGCTCCCCACCGACATGAGCAATTCCTCCTCATCCACGCAAGATGAAGGTGAGGGCAACCTCCATCCTGCCTGAATTCTCCTATCAGCATTCCAAGTAACAACCTCCAAATTAAAAGACTCCCAAGATTGTCATCTCCTCAAAAGATCCATTTTATTAGAGATGTCATGTTGGCACATCTGAGGAAAACCCGAATCTGAGATTTCCAGGTTTTTCTTAGCCCAAAAGAGAATCCAAAATCCCTTCACCCAATAGTTCATCACATGGTCCAATTGTTTCTTCGTTCCAACTGGAGTCTATCCCCAGTCATCCACTCCAGGTGCAGGGTAAGATGTCCTTGACTTGCTGAGAAAGGAATGTTGTTGTGGCTAATTTTCTACCGCTCCTTGAAGTCCCCCTCCCAAATTCCCAGGCACTGAATGTGGCAGCCCAGAAGCCTCAAAGAAAAATGGCTTCCAAGCTGACATCTCCCAGTTTTTAGATTAGGAGATCTAATCCGACCATCTCTCGTTCTTCCTTCTCCAGCTGAGGTGGAAGCCTTCTTCACAGACTTACCAGGGCGGCTCCTGATCAATGCCGTGTATCACGTTGGAGCTGAGAGGCTGCAGCAAATGCTCTTCAGCGACTCCCAGTTCATGCACAGCTTTTTCGACCAACGCAAATTCACAGGTAAGGAGAAACTGGTTCAAATCACATCCTCGGTCAATATTCGGGAGCGAACTTCAGGCAAGAGTTTACATTGCAAAAACAAAGGACACTGCTGTTTTCTGTCTTGTTTGATGGATTAACCTTAGACTTCCATAACCTGGTTTCCAGCTGGTGTATTGGATAAATATTTGGGAGGCTGTTGCATAAACTTCCCTGATTGCTAGAGACACGACCTTCCTTCTTGGCAGATCGTAGTAAAAAGCCTAATCAAATAGTCTGTTGGAAAGAAAATCTCAAAGTCTTCAACTGAATGTCTCAAAGGCAACTGGACTTTCTTTGTTTTGCTTGAAGATGTTTCGCTTCTCATCCGAGAAGCTTTCTCAGTTCTGAACTGAACTGAAGAGGCTTCTTGGATGAGAAGTGAAACACCTTCAAGGAAAAACAAAGAAAGTCCAGTTGCCCTTTGGGAAAAAAAACCACCTTTGGGATAACCATGACCTGGATGACCGAGAATCTCCACAGATGCTCTTCACCTGAATGTCCATGGAGGAAAATTGATTTCAAAAATTAATTTCAAAGCTGGTGAAACTCTTTTATGCCCATCTAACTCAATCAGTCTTACAGAATAGATCTGAGAATTGTGCTGGAAATTATTGTTTTCAGTTTTAAGCAACTGCCAAAGAGGTTGCCAACCAATCTTGGAATTCTTCCTGGCATTGCTGCTGTCTGTTGCTCCCACCACATCTGGTAGGCTCCAGATTTAAGTCAATTGAAGGGTCCTTGGTGCTCTCTGAGCTTGCTTATTTTCTTGCAGACGTTTCATTACCCAAACTAGGTAACATCATCAGTGCTAGTTATCAGCTGTAGCACTGACAATGTTACCTAGTTAGGGTAATGAAACGTCTGCAAGAAAACAAGCAAGCTCAGAGAGCACCAAGGACCCCACATGTCAACCCTGAGTTACAAATTATTATTATTGTTGTTTTTGTTGTATAATTATTATTAACAACTTTTTAAATGTCTGGATCCATATATCTATACCTGCATCCTGATCCATCATATCTATCTCTTCTGAAGCTAACAGCAAGTGTGACAGAGGACGTTTATTTTTAGTTTAGTTTAATTTACTTTATTGTCATTGTACCTCGTACCACAAAATTAAATGCCATATTTAGTGTACATCATAACTATAAAAAAATAAAGCACAAACACACATCCTTCGCATTCTATACAATTGAATTGAAAACCCTTGATATTGCATTAATATTGCACTATACAGTAGAATTCAATAGAGTTACTGCTCTGGGATAGAAGCTGTTTTTTTAGCCTATTTGTCCTTGTTTTTATTGTCCTGTACCACCTGCCAGATGGTAATAGTTTAAAAAAAAAGGTTCCCAGGATGAGATGGATCTTTGAGAATGTTTTGAGCTTTCTTAAGGCAGCGGGAGCTATAAAGCTCTTCCAAAGAGGGGAGAGGGCAACCAATGATCCTCTGGGCAATGACATTAACCCTCTGGAGCGCTGTCCTATCTGCCCCTGTGCAATTGGCAAACCATACAACCATGTTACAATATAATATTTCCAGATGGGGCACAAACAACCATTTTGGTCCTTTTGACTATTTGGGGTGGGTTAAGACGCAAACAGGGCAGCCATTTTCCCTCAGAGCTTTCCTTCACAGCAAGCCAAATCTCCAGGCCTAAATCCCCACCCACCCCCAATTCTAGAGGACTTCAACAACTGCACAAGAGGTGCTGGGGGATCCCTCATGAGCCATAGTTGAATTCATCCATTCAGTCCCATGACCCTTTTCCTTTTCAGTCCAAAGTTAATGGTTGTGAGAATGGATCTTAGTTCCCTGGCAGAGCCAAAGACCTCAGGTTGAATTAAACTGGCTGTATGCAGAATAAGTTAGCAACCCTTTGAAACCTTGGGTCTGTTTTTTAATGTGCCTTTTTTGGGGGGGCTGGAAGCCATTTATACTAAAGCCTTGCAACCTTCAGAGATAATGGGTGTCCCATTCAATTCAAATCCGTGCATGCTTTTGTCATTTGCATAATTACATGCTTGATGTCAATTGTGTGGGTTGCAGTTAAACCTTGACTCGACGAGGTTTAACTAACGCCCCTTCCAAAGAGGGTGGACTCTGAACACAACATGTGTTTGCTGAACCCAGAGTTCACTAAATCAGTGGTCGCCAACCGGTGGGCCGCAAGAAAATTTTGATGGTCCACAGAGAAAATTCAATATTTACATACATGGTGTGTTGTGAGTTTGCTTGCTAGCAAATTTTATGAGTTTGCTTGTAAGCAAATTTTATGTGACAGACTGAGCTAGTCAATGACAGATAGATAGATCTCTGAATGAATCTGTGATTCTGTGAGCAACTCAATCTGCCTTCTTTGCCTGATTTTGGGTAAAAGTTGCTCTTTTTTATAAAAAATTAAATATTTACATAAATATTTATAATATTTACATATAAGCCATGCCCAGCTAGTCACATGGCCACCAAGCCACACCCACAAATTAGGCCATGCTCACAGAACACGGTTGTTAAGAAGTTTGAAACACATCTTTGTGTGTGTTTGTGTGGGTGCGCACGTGTGTGTTTGTGTGTGTGAGTGAGTGAGTGAGAGGGAGAGAGATATTAGATTTACCTCTCGATCTCTTTCTCTCCCACCAACGTCAGCAAGCCACTGTCAGTCAAAATTCATATTAGTGGTCTGTGGGATTTAAAATTATGAGTTTGGTGGTCCCTGAGGCCCAGAAGGTTGGCGACCCCTGCACTAAATGATCATCTGCTATTTCATCAAACTAAGACTTTACTGTTACTGTTTTTTCCTGATACTGGTAATATTTTAATTACCACTCGGTTTTCCTATTTTGTCCCCAACTTTTCTTCCTCCCCCCGCCTTCCTAGATGTCACACTGAGTTCATGGAGCGGAGACAGCAAGTGTCATCAAAGCCGGGTCATGACTTACACCATTCCCATCAGCAACCCATTGGGCCCCAAGGCTGCCCCTGTGGTGGAGAATCAGGTAGGGCCATTGGGTTCCTAAAAATACGGGTAGTCCTCGTGTTACAACCACAAATGGAGCCCAAAATTTCTGTGGCTAAGTGAGACATTTGTTAAGTGAGCCTTGCCCCGTTTTACGACCTTTCTTGCCACAGTTGTTAAGTGAATCACTGCAGTTGATCAGTGAATAACCCAGTTGTTAAGTGAATCTGGCTTCCCCATTGACTTTGCTCGTCAGAAGGTCGCAAAAGGGGATCACTGCAACCGTCATAAATATGAACCCGTTATCTGAATTGTGATCATGTGACTGCAACAGTTGTAAGTGTGAAAAACGGTCATAAGTGTTGTAGTTCGCTGGCAGCCAGTGCAGACGGCAGTGGAGTTGGAGAGTGAGGAAGAAAGGGGACTAGGCAGGGAGTCTGCGAGGACTTGGATGATGGTCCTGCATCTGATGCAGGGATGGGGCCAGGACCATCTGGGAGTGGGGTGCTGCCTTTGCAGCCTTTGGAGTCTGGCAGCAGCGGGGCAGAGGACCCAGGGGAGCCTGTTCCCAGTGCGCGTGTGCGCAGAGCTACTAGAAGGCGAGAGCAGCTGAGACAAAAGGGGTGACTTGGGAGTGAGGCTGGGAGGTGATTGCCCCTCCCATAAGGGATAAAAGTCAGACCTCAATGACGAACGCTTTGTAGGAAGCAAAGTAGTTCAATAGTGTCTGAGTCCTTCTGTAAGCTCCGTGAACTGTGGTTGTTGTTTTTTTCTGGGACTTTGGTTGGTTTATGTTATAATTAATTGGTCTTCTGTTTTTTGGCAGCGTTCTATAGCACTGAAAGGCATACTCTTATCCGGGGGAACTATTTATAATTTCTTCTGGCTGGGAATGGAAGTAATTCCCAGAGTTGCAATAAAATAGGTTTTGTTTTTACAGTAAGCTTGTGTTTCATTAAGTTTGACGAAGCCTGAGTCAGAACAATAAGTCACTGAACAAACCGTTGTAACTCGAGGGCTACCTGCATTAAGAGGGACGGACAAAGCAAGGTCATGGTGTTTTGATCTGTTGGCTGTCCCAGTACAGATAGTCCTCGCCTTCCAACAGTTCGTTTAGTGACCGTTTAAAGTTACACCGGCACTGAAAAAAGTTGCAACATCCTTGAGGTCTCATGATCAGAATATATTTAATCACCTTGTTGCTATATTAACGGCTATGGCGATTCACTTAACAACTGGGCCAAAATTCACTTAACAGATGTTTCACTTAACCACAGAAATGTGGGGCTCCATTGTGGTTATAAGTCAAGTGGTGCGGTGGCCTAGAGGTGGAGATCTCTCCTCACAATCAGGAGGCTGTGAGTTCGATCCTAGGTAGAGGCAGATATTTCTCTCTCTGGGCACATTGTGAATATGTCTGCTGAACAAAACTCCACATTGGTGACAGAAAGGGCATCCGGCCATTAAAACACTCAGCTAGCTCCATTCAGTTGCCCAGACTCCACTCTGCAAGGGATTATGGAGTCGTTAAAAAAAGGAGGATTATTGTGGTCATAAGTCGAGGACTTACTTGTAACTTTCAAGCCACTGTTTCCTTGAGACTGTTATCTGAACAAACGGATGAGCATGGGTAAAGCGTAGCATTTTCCAAGCACGGGTACCAAAAACCTGAATGACTCTACTTATCCTGCCTTTCTCTTCCTCTTTACCTGCTGGGTGCTTAGACTCTTTTCCGTGCCACTTCCAAGAATGGAGGCTGTGTGGTGGACACAGAAGTGATCACTCATGGCATCCCTTACGAGGATTACTTCTATACTGTGCATCGGTACTGCATCACCAAAGTAGCCAAAAGCAAAACCAGGCTCAGGTATTCATTCTTGGATCACTCCCTTCTCAGCTGCGTCTGTACGGTTGTCAAAAAAAGGGGTTTCCCCCCAAATTTTTCAATGAATTCTGTTAGGAGAGTCTAAAAAATAAGTGGAAATTACTGGGGAAGAAATGGGGTGAGGGACGTGGTTGTCCGTGGCAGCCATAATAAGCTTCACGTTCACCTAAATGTTGACATGTATCCAGGGGTGGGATTCAAAAATCCCAACAAACGGTTCTCTGCCCGGTTGCTGGGTGGGCGTGGCCATGGTGGGCGTGGCCTACTGGAACTTCCAGGAGGGCCGTTTTTTTGCCTTCTCCAGAGTCCGTAGGCTTCCCTCAGGCATCTGGGAGAGCGAAAACTGCTTCCCCTGGGCTCCGGAGGCCCTCCGGAAGCCAGAAACAGGCCCACTTCTGGAACTTCCGGAAGGGCCAACTACCGGTTCAGCGAACCAGATGTAAATTTAACCTCCGGTTCGCCCGAACCGGCCAGAACCGGCTGAATCCCAGGCCTGCATGTATCGCGTTATAGAGTGAAAGACACACCTGACAACAAATGAGCGAGTCATGTCATGGCTTCATTACGTAAAATACGGCTCATGGGCTCATTCCTCTTCGTTTAAGAGTTCATTCTTTCTTCCGTTCAATGAATCAGTGAATCAATCAATTAATTTGCCTATCTCCAGAAGAGGCTCCTGGTTGCATTTGGGTTGCTTGCTTTTGTTTTAAATCTGATTAATGTGTCAAAACCATCCCAGGCCAAAGAGGACCTCAGATTGCAAATCCCTTTTCTCTTGACGCATAGTTCAGTTGCTTTAAAAGGGGAACAAAAACATTACAGAGCCCTCTCGATGCCGTGTAGTCTAAACTAAATCAGTAGAAGGACACGGCACGAATCAGTCAAAGATGTACAAAGGTTCAGATTCTCCAAAAAGCCTTGATTGGGTGCAATGCTCCATCCATCAATGCTACATGAAAAGAAGGACTGTTGGGTGACATGATAACAGTGTCCCAGTATCTAAGGGGCTGCCACAAAGAAGACAGAGCCGTGGTGGCATAGTGGTTAGAATGCAGTACTGCAGGCTAACTCATTGCTCACTGCAAGAGTTCGATTCTGAGCGGCAGAAGGTTGACTCAGCCTTCCATCCTTCTGAGGTCAGTAAAATGAGGACCCAGATTGTTGGGGGAATAAGCTGGCTCTATAAACTGCTTAGAGAGGGCTGTAAAGCACTACAAAGCTCTATATAAGTCTAAGTGCTGTTGCTATTCTCCAAGGACAAGAAGCAATGGATGGAAACTAATTAAGAAGAGAACCAAGCTAGAATTAAAGAGAAATTTTCTGACAGTGAGCACAATAAACTAACGGAACAACTTGCCTCCAGAAGTTGTGGATGCTCCAACACTGGAGAATTTAAAGAAGAGATTGAGCAACCATTTATTTGATATGATATAAGCAGAGGTGGTATTCAGCAGGTTCTAAACAGTTCTGGAGAACCGGTAGCAGAAATTTTGAGTAGTTCAGAGAACCGGCAAATATCACCTCTGACTGGCCCCACCCCCATCTCTTCTCTACCTCCCATTGAGTCCCAGCTGATTGGCTGGGTCTTCTTTGGTTGCCCTGCCCAGGAGAATGGAGCTGGAAAGCAGGTTAGTGGTGTGGGAAGAGAATGGGGATTTTAATGTCTCCTTCGCCTGGAGTGGGGTGGGGATGGAGATTTTGCATTCTCTTTCCCGTGCCATGCCCACGAAGCCACGCCCACAGAACTGGACTACTGGATAAGGTTTCCTGCCTGAGCAGGGGCTGGACTAGAAGACTTCCAAGGTCCCTTTCGACTCTATTATTCTGTTATTCAATCAGAACGGGGAAGAAGCAACACAAAACATATTAAGCCAGCCAGTTCGCAGTTTGCAGCAGAGTTCATATTGAGATAGAGGCTGCAATCTAAATGCACGACTGTGGGCACCTTCAGGTCATCTTACCTGCAGCATTCAGCAATAAAGAATGACCGATATCCCCACCTTCCCGGTTTTGAAAACACAAAGGTTACTGAGGCTCTCCCCATCTCCTTGGGGGGAACACTTGATCTTGTAACTGCAGAAGATGAGATAGATATAGGGAAGATTAAATAACGCCAGAGATCCTTCGGGTTGCAAGCCAAACGGAGTAGTCCATTCTTTGCCAAAGGGGTTCGTTCTTCTTCAAGTTTCCCAGCATTCCCTGGGGGAAACGGGAAGGTTCTTTGGCCCACCCATAACAGTCGTTCTCCATTACAGAGTCTCCTCTGAAATCCGGTATCGGAAGCAGCCATGGTCCCTCGTGAAGACTTTGATTGAGAAAAATGCATGGAGTGGTGTCGAAGAATTCTTCCAGCACTTGGGTGAGTGAATCAAGGAGTGATTCAGTGCAGAACCTGTGCTTTGGAACAATTATAACACAGTCTGGGGGTGGGTTCCCTTTTATCTTCCCATTCATGAAGTTTTATTTTATTTATTTATTTATGTGTCAAAAATGTACAAGATAACAAGCATAATATGAAAAAACAAACAAACAAAGGGAGTAAATACAGGTAAACGGGGACAGTAAGACAGGGACGGTAGGGCCCGCTGGTGCGCTTATGCACGCCCCCTTTAAGGACCTCTTAAGAATGGGGTGAGGCCTACGGTAGACAGTTTGAGGTTGGAGCTGTGAGGATTTTGAGGCTGTAACCACAGAGTCGGGTAGAGCATTCCAGGCATTGGCCACTCTGTTGCTGCAGTCATATTTTCTGCAACTGAGTTTGGAGCGATTTACCTTGAGTTTGTATTGGTTGTTTGCCCGTGGAGTATTGTGATTGAGGCTGAAGAAGTCGTTGACAGGCAAGATGTTATAGCAGCCAATTTTGTGAACTATGCTTAGATCGCACCGCAGATGGCGCAGTTCCAGATTCTCCAGGCCCAAAATGTTGAGCCTTCTCGAAATTTCATCAACTTCTTCCAGTAGAGGTCATTAGAGAACAGGTAGTTCTGAAGTTGTCTGAGATATCCACCTGTAGCAGCCATGTGCAGAATGAGACAAAAAGAGTAGACGTTTTGGAAAAGGAGAGAGGCTGATGGTATCAGGATCATCATTTTAGGGTACGAATTCAGCCTTGTAACCCCTTCATCTCTGTGGTCTTAAACGCTGTTTCAGAGCTGGCGCTGGTGCAAGCAGAAAAGGCTCTGCTAGAGGACAGCTGCCATGGCAAAGAACCCCGGGGTCTCTTGTCCGGATTGCGTCGCAGGAAACGGACTCTGAGCTGGAGAGCTCCTCATGTTGAAGCCCCCATGCCCACGCTACCAGATAGCGAAGGGGCGTCGCGTGCTGTTCGTCCTTCAGGTATGCCTTCTTGTTGGGAACAGTCTACTTCTTTCCTCTTTGCGGATGTATAAGAAATCGAGCTGTGGTGGCGCAGTGGTTAGAGTGTGGTACTGCAGGCTATTTCTGCTGACTGCCGGCTAATTGCAATTTGGCAGTTCGAATCTCACCAGGCTCAAGGTTGACTCAGCCTTCCATCCTTCCGAGGTGGGTAAAATGAGGGCCCAGATTGTTGGGGGCGATAGGCCGACTCTGGAAATCTCTTAGAGAGGGCTGTAACACAAGCAGTATATAAGTCTAAGTGCTATTGCTAATCTATGATTCCCCAGACATTACTGCACTACTCCTTCTGCAGTTCAGTAATGCCTGGAGCACCTCAAGTTCCTTTTGTTCTCTGTCCTGATCTGTTGGCTTTCTGTCCTTTAGGCAGCCTGACCTCACATCTTTCAGAACAACTGTTGGAGCCAGGACAGGGGCAAACCGTCTCCACCGTGATCCTCGTCATCAGCCTGGTGTAAGGCAGCTGCTTTTGGGGGGGGTTGGGCTGTAATTGTAGATTGTCCCCCTTCCCAAAATTCTCAGTGGTGGTTGAACTGGTTGGGGAACTGAACGCCACACATCTAGAAGACCTCAAGGTTCTAGACCAGCCTTTTCAGACCTGGTGCTTTGTAGAGGTAGACTACAACTTCCAACGTCCCCAGCCAGGCTTTTCCAATGTTCTCTGTGAGTTTTCCATTTGCAAACGTAGAAGTATACTCTCCAGAGTCTACACAAGGTCACACCTTACACAGGGTTACAGCCTACTCTCTAGGAAGCCAAGAAAGAGTCCAGTCCATTGAAGCCAGGAACAGGGCTGGATTTATCCAGGAATACCCATGATGCCATCGGAATGGGGAGTTTAGTGGAGCCTGGAATTCCGCTTAATGGGTAGAGTGCAGTAGTGGGATCCTAGCTTAGTCACTACCAGTTCGATGGGCGATCATGTGTGTGCGCGCGCACTCCCCCCCCCAACGCGCACGCACCTAACAAGCCAATCAGCTGGGAGGATGAAGAAACGAAAAGCTAGGAGCAACCCTCCCACCCTCCCATGTGCTTTTTCGGTCTTTTATCCTCTCAGTTGATTGGAGGGTTTTTTTACTACCTGTTTGGGAACCATAGTCATTTTTACAACTGGGCCCAACCGGTAGCGTACCACCACTGGTAGGGTGGCCTCCAAGGCAGCAAGGCTGGCTGAAAGTAACATGCATGACCATTAAGAACAAGGCTCTCCTCTCTGCTCCCCAAACCGAGATGACCTTGTTGTCCCATTGCTTGGTGGGCTGTAGTAAAAGGAAAAAAAATGTCAGGGTCCCAGAACTGTCAAGATTGGTTGGAAAGCTTTGGGTACTTTCGCTTTGCAATCTTATGTTTACTTTCCTTAGTTACTAATACCTTAAAAGGTATGCTGGCTTGTGATTTAAGGTGTACCACTGTCTTCCTAAGATCCCTCACCCTGCTTCTTTTCTCCAAGTGGATTGGTTTATTTATTATTTCAATTTATCTGTCTCCCCCCTCAAAAAAAAATGCAAATTCATGACTCTGAGCAGTTCCCAACAGTTAAAATGCCATAAAACGTAATTGAATTAAAGGTTTCTAGGTTAACTAACTTAATTTCCTACTAAATTAGCAACCTTATTTGTTTGAAAAGTACAATCGAGTTTAGGAAAGTTTGGTGTGGCAGCATCTATGCTGGATAATTTTTTCCCTTGTCTTTCTTTTATTGATGAGAGAATGCAGGAACAAAGCTTCAATTCTTTCTTTCTTTCTTTCTTTCTTCCTTCCTTCCTTCCTTCCTTCCTTCCTTCCTTCCTTCCTTCCTT